AATTCAACCCTATGAATATTTTTTAAAAAATCAAAACCCAACCAAAATTGCTTTTCAACGATATATCATGTTCCTATACCTAAACCTTGTGGTTTCTTCAGTAAAACCATTTCTTCTTCTTCTTTCTCAGCCTCGTTTGGTTCCATCCAGTGTTGGAACTTCCAGGATTTTCCATGCTTCGCGATCTCTAGCCAATCTTATCTATTCTCTTCCCGCCACTGTTCTGACGTCATCGACCCATCTCTTTTTTGGTCGGGCCACACTTCATGTTGTTCCCCTAGGTCTCCATAGAATGACTTTTTGAGGCCATCGCTCTGGATCCAGCCTTGCCACATGTCCGATCCATTGCCACTAAATTGTTACTAAATTGTCAGTGTCCCCATTGTCACTTGCCACTCTTTTAACCACATCTATTAGTTTTGTTTTTTGACGTTCCGCATTTTTTCCCTCAAATGACTCCTAACATGATTCTTTCCATGGCTCTTTATGCAACTCGCAGTTTTTCGGGTAATTGCCATAGTCTCTAAGCTGTACGTAAGCACAGGTAGAATGCAGCTGTTGTAAGCTTTTTTCTTTAGGTTGATGGGCACCTTTTTATTCTTCAAAATATCACTCATTCCAAATGCTACCCATGCCAAATGGATCCTGCGTTTGATCTCCGTATTTTGGTTCTCTTTTCCCAGCTTGAAACCATTTAGAAGATAATAATTCTATTATAATTGTTTCGTCTAAAGAAAATGGTTGCCATGACAAATATTCAAACTTTATAAGTACTTATCAATCAGTTTACGTGCTAAATTTCTAAAATTGTCATGGTAACGAAATTCTTGAAATGAAAATATATGCAAAAAGAACGCAACTGAGAAATTTTTGGTGAAATTTAAAGTGTTATATTTTTCTTACTTTTAGCCCTATTTTCATGATTTTTAGCAAACTGTGTATAATTATATCAACTATAATTCGTAAAAGTAAGTTTTTTTATAAACTTTAGTATTTGGCATATTATACAGGGTTAATCGAGGGGTTTGGTTTGGTTTGTTTTTTTACCTTAACTTTAAAACACCCTGTGCAATAATTTCGGGTGTAAATTTTCTTAAAATGTAATTTTACGGTCAGAAACATGTCTCCTGAGCATTTTGTTTTTTGGATCATGTCAATATATGTCTTGGTTAATTTTTAAGAGCGAAATGAACTTGACACCAACAATTTGCAATTTTTTCAATCATCAATATCTTTTGATGTAATTTTTTAATATGACGATATGGTTTTGGTGACTATTGTCGTATTACGCTGTATTGGATACTTTATACTAAATTATAAAAAAACGTGTAAGACTAACAATACAGTCTTGGTTTTAATAAACATTAATAACGATAACAGAACTAACGATATTAAAGAAAGCATCTGTAATATTTAAGTATACAAACAGGAAAAAAAATTGTAAAAAATAGCCTAATACTCTCCATTGCTTGCCTTGTCTGATATAATGCCTGTATACAGGGTGTTTCAAAACAAATGCGAAAAACTTCAGAGGGTGATTCCTTGTTCAAAATAAAGGGTAGTTTGCTTCATAAACGTTGGGTCAAAATCAACCATTAGGGAGATATTGCGGTACAAAGATGGCTGAAAAATAATGTTTTTATTTTTTATCTTGAAAACGAAAAGAGACAGACTAATAAAATTTTATGGAAGCATTACTGTTATGAAAACACACTTTCTGGTAATTTTTTCACTTTTTTAAAATGAGTGGAAGGGGTTGAAATAAACTACCCCTATCATTCTTGTTAACGAAATTTAAAGAAAAATCTTATCAAATACATGCAAAAAAATTAATCTGGATAGTTTAGTTTGTTTAGAAACTTTTTATCTCTTGTATTTTTTGATAAAACTCACCGATTTGAAATTAAAAAATAAAATGTAAAGCATTACATGTCAGGACAAAAACATTTTCTGATAACGAATCTAGTGGGCTGCTGCAATTTCTTTAGGAAAAAATCTAGTCGGCCGCTGTTACTTTTTAGGATGTTCCTAATATTATTTTATTTGACATTACTCTACTGCAATACGTTATTATCTAGATGATTATTATTATCGTTATTATCGCTAGATTCTTAATCTAAAAATGTTTTTTGTCCTGACATGTAATGCTTTACATTTTATTTTTTAATTTCCAATCGGTGTGTTTTATCAAAAAAACACAAGAGGTAAAAAAGTTTCTAAACAAACTAAACTATCCAAATTAAAGCATTTGCATGTGTTTGATAAGATTTTTCTTTAAATTTCGTTAACAAGAATGATAGGGGTAGTTTATTTCAACCCCTTCCACTCATTTTAAAAAAGCAAAAAAATTACCTGAAAGTGTGTTTTCATAACAGTAATGCTTCCATAATATTTCATTAGTCTATCTCTTTTCGTTTTCAAGATAAAAAATAAAAACATTATTTTTCCGCCATCTTTGTACCGCGATATCTCCCTAATGGTTGACTTTTGACCCAACGTTTATAAAGCAAACTACCCTTTATTTTGAACAACGAATCACCCCCTAAAGTTTTTCGCATTTGTTTTGAAACACCCTGTATATCTGGCTGCATATATATCATATTGTGTTATACTTTCCCATTCATCTTTAAGAACCAACCGAAATTTATTTAATGAAGCTAGTACCGCTTTGCGAACTCTAACCTTCCTGCCAAGCATGTCCCAAACGTCGAACAGTATGGGCAGTTCATAGTAGTATTTAGTTCACAATAATCACCAAAGCCGGCTTGTCATATTGAAAAATAACTTAAAAAAGAAGTGATAATTGAAAAAATTGCAAATTGTTCGTGTCAAGTTCATTTCGCTCTTAAAAATTAACCAAGGCATATATTGACATGATCCAAAAAACAAAATGCTCAGGAGACATGGTTCTGATCGTAAAATTATATTTTAAGAAAATTTACACACGAAATTATTGCACAGGGTGTTTTAAAGTTAAGGTAAAAAAACAACTCCCCGATTAACCCTGTATAATATGTTAAATACTAAAATTTATAAAAAAAACGAAGTGTAATTATATACAGGTTGCTAAAAATATCATGAAAATAGGGCTAAAAATAACAAAAATATAACATTTTCAATTTGACCAAAAATTTCTCCGTTGCCTTTTTTTTGCATCTGAGTGTAGAATTAATAATTTTTAAATAGCTCTACTTAAGAAACCGGAAGGTTTAGGTATAGGAACATGATATATCGTTGAAAAGCAATTTTATTAGTCTTTTGATTTTTTAAATAATATTCATAGGGTTGAATTTAAAATAACAAAGAGTTTAGTAATTTTATAACAAACGGAAATAATATTTTTGCTCTCTCTGTGTAATACCCAATTGGTTGATTTAGACCGATCGAATATATCAACTTTCGTTACGTTATAACCCAAATTTCAACTTTAAAAATGTTTAGTTCGTGATTTTACCAGTGCTTATTTTTCGATCATGTTTTTGTCAATTTTACATATATATTTTATTTTTTATCTTAAAAACTATTAGAAATAGGTATAGATTAGTATAATAGAAAAATGATGAGATTATGAAAGGTAGTTTCCAAAAATGTAATATACAAATATTATTAATATTAATATACAAATATACAGTAAATATACAGGGTGTCCTCTTTAAAATATGAAAGATGCTACCACTTTTCGAATGATCCGGCAACAATGTAATGCTGAAAATATTTTAGAAAGATGAAACAGGTGCCTTTATATAATAATGCAAATTTTCAAAAAAATTCTCTCACTGGTTCTCCGTAAACGTCTAACGTGCCATCGCCGTGAATCACCCTATACAGGTTATTAACTCGACAGTTACTTATAGGGGAACAGAATGGCAACAATGCCTACTGAGAACGCATGTACTTATAGGGGTTTCTGCCGACTCGTCCCGTCGCGTGGTCTGTCGACGAGCGGGCCGAGGTTGCCATATTTCAAACATAAAGCTCTTGCCGCGAGTAATAAACAAATTAACAACATCTATAGTGTAACTAACCCTTTTAACTAAACTTTTCTTTATTTAAATTTTGCATATATCTCCATCCAATCTGTTAATTATTAAGTGCTATATTAACTTTATATAATTACTTTAAAATAATCTCTAAAGCTAGCGTTTTGCGGGTTGGGTTGCGGCTCGTTTCTTAAACTTCAAATAAACTTAAAACCGGCTTTAACTAACTTAAGAGAATTACTCCTCTAATATGTAAATACTTCTTTCTTTTGCTTCGTTACTTCTCCAAGCTTGCTCGAATTAGTTCGGTGCATAATAGAGGCAAAAGTTGTAAACTTTGAGAAGGTTGCGGCAATAAAAACTTTCTAGATAATGCTGAAGGTAACGGTAGATATATTTTCGTTTCTCTAGAATACAAACTATGCAATTCTTTTATTCTATTGTATTAAAAAAGAGTTTTGGCAAGTTGTTGTAGATCAAGAACTTGATTTGAATAGAAAGAACAAACACATTTCATAAAAATTTGGTGGGTAGGCTATGTGGGTAGGCTACGGAGCACACGATCTCACCCTGCAAAATTGGATACGATGTTTCGTTTACATCTTCATCAGGGTGGGACTAAGTATTTGTTATTGAAGAAAAATGTGGGTCGACTTTGGCATAATTGGGGACGGGCTACAGGATGGCGCCCTCGACGTTTCGAACCGATGCCTCTAAATGGACGAAATCATCTGGATTTTTCTTAATTCTGGGTCGATTGGAACCAAACTCGGCACGTGACAGACGGTCATTTTAATACAAATTTTTTGAAAGCGATTTAAATTATTTATTAATTTTTAATTTATTACTTTTTCAACAATTTCAAACTACACTTTTTCAGACATGTCCTTCAATTTAATAGCTGTTCGTAAGAAGTTTCCACTTCAAATATGCGCACATAGTGCACACACATTTTTTTTTCCTTAATATTGGTAGTGCTCTTCTCAGTATCTGAGATTATAATACAAAATTTTGTTTCAGATATTTTTCGAGCTGCTGCAGAGGCCGGTCCAAGTGATATTCTGAAATTGTACAACGCTGCTGGTCAGCTGCTCAATATCAGTGCAGACCTGCTTCCAAATTCAAAAGAGACTCCATATTCATTACAGGTAAATATACACAGCTAGTACCAGTACTTTTAATAGTATATTAGAAATAGCGAAAAAATAATCGGATTCGGCATAAAATTCTGCTAATAGTACGCTATTTTTATTTGAATTACTATACGGTGTTGCCATTCTATTACTTATTTACTAAAACTTTGGTTAAAAACATTATATCCTAAAACTGTAATCTGTAATATCCTGTAATCTGTAATAAACATTTTTTTGTTAAAATGGATATGGTAAACAATGTTTATCGTTCAGACCCAATATTATTACAAATTCTTGCACATTTCGATTTGTGGTCTCTTGGGTTTCAGAAGAAATTTGACCATTGTTTTGGCCGTAAAATGTCTAGAAACATTATTTCACAGTTTAATAGAGTCAGAATAGTAACGCTGTCTCAACAGGGCTACCGAAAAGTTGCAATAGCTGAAATTGTAGGAGTTAACCAAAGCGATGTTTCGCGAATATTAAAAAAAAAATCAGGGAGACAAACGAGGTTACAGACCGGCCTGGAAGAGGTAGAAAGAGAGTTACTACTGCCTGTGCAAGACCGTAAAATATCCCTAATTGCACGACGCAATCCCCTGCATTCTAATACTGCTATTGAAAATGACTTAGTTCGCTTTGAAGGAGTAAATGTTTCAAGAAAGACCATAGCAAGAAGACTCCATGACAGAAGATTACATTTAAGGAGGCCTCTACGTGTTCAGAAGCTTAATTTACAGCACAAAATTACGCGACTGCAATGGGCTGAGGAGATAGGAGCAAATGGACCTAATTGGAATTTTGTCTCTCCATCGCAGTTTAGCGGTTCGCGAATTTTGTGAGGAAGAGGATATAATAAAGCTGTGGTGGCCACCGATGTCTCCAGATATGAATGTGATCTAGCATGCTTGGGACATACTAAAACGCCATATTGCTAAAAGGATGATCCCCCCGTACCTTAAATGAATTGAAAATTGCTGCGCGCGAAACATGGGAAACCATTCCTCAACATCTTCTGGACAACTTAATTGAGAGCATACCACGTCGTCTCACAACTTGCATTGAGGCTCGAGGAGGCAATACAGACTATTAGTATTGCCTATTAGTATTTAATTATTTCTCACAAGAGAAATAATTAAAATTGTTTTCAATATTTTCTGTTTAAAATGAAATTTGTTTTTGTTGATTCTCACTCATTATGAAATAAAATTATAATAACAGCCTAGCTGCACTTAGATTTTTAATTTTATATTAGTTAGTCGAGTAGTAAGCCAATATGCCCAAAAAGATATAAAGAATCATATTAGGTCCAAAATATAATATAAATATCGTTATATGCAACAATTTTGGCCATGTGTTTATATTGCTATTTATTTAAATGTGTTTTGTAGTAAATTAATCATACTCCAATATTGTGTCTGCATTCTTCAAATTCCTTTCATAGACACATACCCAGTAGACCCAGTAGACGTATTTTATAGTTTCTCTTGTTGTTTTAGGTGGTCGCAGCAAACGGTCTGGCCATGTTGCAAGAATCAACCTGCGCCGACCTGAAGGCGCTGGAAGCTCGCATTTCTGCTGTGGAACGGCAGATGCGCACGGAGCTCCCTCTACCGCCGGCCGTCGAAGAGCTCAGAAAAGAAGTCGACGCTTTTCGCGATCGACTCGAAACTGATCCAAACCTGAGCTGGCTCGGTAAGTACGTACATTGGTATGTAACGGCATGGTTAACCCAAACTCATGACCAGTAATTCAGACCAATCAGTGATGTATGTCAGAATTTTCATATTCTTGATTTAAAAATATTGTTTTTTCTGTGTAGTCGTTAGGTTAATGATAATGATATGGACGAGGATCATGGTTCGGAACCTCTTTTTACTTTTCGAAAACATTTTTACTTTTTTTAATTATTACTTAATCATCCGTTTTATTAATTTAGCAGTTTTAATTTTGTCTCTGATCCGCGTTAAAACGAGAACGAACGGCTGGGGTTAATTAAAGGTTTTATTAAAGCCGTTCTCTTTTATGATTGATAAGTAATAAAGTTTCAGACGTATCCAATTTATATCTTGGAAGATTACTTCCCTCTTTTAATTTATATTCGATACCTATAGATATTTTTTTCTGGTTGTGCTTTTTCATAACTCTGTTAATTACGACAGTATATCGAAAGGTTTAGATTTACCACACTTTCACTCGTGGTTTAATCAAGTTTTTCTTCTGTACTTACTGGCACGAAAAACTTAGGCTGTGATTCCTCATGTTGTAAGCTTATATTTTATATTACTTCGTGGATAAGTAAATTCGCTTCATTTTTGTTGAAGACACGTCAGCGACATTCGACTCTCTGATTATCTTTGTCTTTGACACTCACTGACCAATCGTCTGTCTTTCTTTTGCGTATATTTTATTTCCATATCATAAAATAGAAAATGTAAATATATAAATTAGAAAAAATAATATTGTTATTCGAATATTAATTATTTATTCGATAATATTTACTAGTATGTTAATTATTTAAAGAAAAAAAATCAAAGGTGAATTGCCTAATGTTTAAAGTGATTAAGTTACCTAACATTAGTGATGTGTCGGTATTTGAGTAACGCGATTTTAGAGCGGTATTTTTTTACGACGTACTGTCGTGCTTCACAACGAATCAGGAAATTGTTACTGAAGAACGACGATCATAATAACGACAAAATTATAAATTATTTATAATTTGCAAATAAATTATTTATAATCGCACTTGAAGTTAGCTCGAACAGTAGTAACCGCATAGCGACGTGTTTAGCTCCAGCCGTCGCGATTTCGTCGGTCGTCAACAGTAGTATCTGGAACTGGTATGTCCATAGCGCCGCGCGATCTCGATCGGGACGTGTTCGCTCCAGCCGTCGCGCTCCTAGAGTTGTAGTTCCCTGTCGCGAACAGAAGTAACTGCTGTAACTAGGCATCGACGCTGGACCTCGGCGGCGACCTACTTCGCTCCAGCCGTCGCGCTCCTAGAGTTTTAGTTCCCTGTCGCGAACAGAAGTAACTTCTGTAACTGATTATCGACGCTCGACCTCGGCGGCCACGTACTTCTTTTCCACGCTTTTAGGGTTTCGATTTTGCCTGTCGCGATTTGGTCGGGTCAAGTCGGTTACTATTGGCGTTGGTGCTCCCGTCGCTACGTTACTTTCGAAATAGCGATTTTTGGTATGTACTAGGCATGGTATAAAATAGTGTTGTTTGAAAGATGAAACGTAAAAGCAAATAAAATAAAATAACAATATTTTATTTGCTTTTATACATTTATGTAAGTTTTATTGTTTATATCAATTTTTAAGGTTAGGTTAGACCAATAAACGATTTTGACAGTGGTTTGGACTTTGTTCTTGATTTTAACATTAAATATATTATATTGCAGTACACATAAAAAAAAAAAAAAAAAAAAAAAGTACACAAAACACATGTGAGCTGTTCATTTATTTTATTTAAACGAAAATTGGTAAAGAAAAGAAAATAACAATAAATGTCATCGTTTTTCTAAAAATGAGATTGATTGGCTATACACAATAATTATAAACTCGATATTTGGAAAATGAGTGGCGGATAAAAGTTACATTAATCTACAAATATAGATAAGTTAGATATATTTTTAGCGAGGACCGCAACACTTTGGAAGTCGGAACCTCAGTTACAAAATCGCGGTATTTTGTCGCGGTATTTTTCTGGAGTGGCCGGCCGTAGCTCCAGCGTTAGTGTGTCGATCTGCGGAGCGGAAGGTACTGGGTTCGATCCCCAGCCAGTACGGTCGCTTTATTTATTTAAATAAAATTATTTATTTATCTAAATAGAGCGACCAACGAGCCGCCACCTCAAGGAAGGCAATGGCAAACCACCTTGAGTATATTTGCCTTGTACAGCCTCTCAAATATTGCCGTTCGGATTCGGCACTAAACTGTAGGTCCCGTGTAAGAAGATTTTTCTGGAACGGTTGCTATTGTAACGCGACTCATGTGGAACCGGTATTCCCATCACTACCTGACATAAATATATATTTCACTGAATTAAAAGTCGGTTTAAAGAACGATTTTAAATAATACATACCTTGTTGTTTGACTTTTGACTTTTCAATGTCAACACATATTTTATTGTTTCCCTGGTTACTGGTTAGATATTTTTCAAAGTAGTATTTTAAAACATTTTTAAAAAAAAAATATTGTTATATGATTTAATTTTTGTTTAAAATTTATTTTACCTTTACTTTGGTAAACCATTCCACAGGCTGTTTAAAACTTTCACCAACAGCAACATATTGTTTTCCCTCGAATAATTGGCAGATGGGGACTTTAATTTTTAATTTAAAAAGAGCCTAAAAACTGAAAACATCATGGAAATAAGCCCACTAGAACAAATATTGAACACTTTAAGTACATGAAAATTAAATGGTGTCCATTTTTCGTGTCAATCAGTGTGAAATTAATTTTAATGGTATTTTTTAAGAAGAAAACAAACATCTTTGTAATATTTTAAATCTAAAAAAAATTATCCATTCACAATTTTTCGTCATTTTTGTTTCCTTTTTAGTAATTTTCTTTTTAGAAGCACTTAAAAGCTTTAAGCTGTATACGTTCAGAATTAGAAAATTCAAATATAACTTCAATATATAAGCTCTCAAGCATATTCAACAAACGCTACGGTATCAAACTAATTTAAATTCTAGTTAGTTGTTGCCCCCATTGTATCGACATTTAATTAAACCTATTAATAACTCCAGGTCTGTTAATAATTATCGATGTTTTAATAAAAGAACAAGTGTCCCATCTTTTTCATTAGCTTCCCTAATGAAACGTTTAAATAAAATTAAAAGCTTGTTTGGAAAACTAATACGATTAGGTAGTGTGCTGTTTAGTTGTAAAATTGCAGCATAAAGCGGAGCTAAACTCAATTAGCGGCACTAAATGCATTAGAATGTTGCATTAAATTGGCGTCTGCTTCTTTAATAAACAAACATAATTATAAACAAACAACAAGCAAACTTCCGCTCGCTCCGTTCACTTTTATATGTATGCAATATTGTCATAGTTATAGGAAAATAACAACTATTGGAAAATATAGGGTGACTAACGGCGATATGGTAGTTTAGCCGTTTTTGGTGAGCTGGAGATAAGATTATTTTGAAAATTTGGATGTTTTTTCTTTTCCATTTAAGAAGTAGTGGTATCTTTTTTGTTTAAAATAGAACACACGCTAGGGTGGGGGGTATACAGGGTGGCGCCTCTTATACGCCGCGGAGGCTCCAAGGAGAACGACAGTTTGTATTGAAATGAAATTTTGTGAGCATATGTAGTTTAATTCAGAGCACTTTTTAAAAATATAGAGAGTTCTACAGGGTGTCTCCGAAAAAGTTACGTATCAAAGTTGTGTTTTTTGTAATGGAACAAACACCCTATACTAAAGGCTGGCAAAGGTTAGTCTTGGGTCGAAATTTCCATATGTAAGAAGAGTACAATGCATTTATAATGTACTGAACAAAGAGAGAACAGTAAACACGTTGCCAAACGTATGAAATAAACCGAGAAACTGTGCACATTGCTAAGAGTGGTGGATTTGTCGCAGTCAACCGGTCGACCCAATCAGTACCTCTGTCAGTACGAGTCGATGTAATTTTCACTATAGCTTAAAAATGTTTGAGTGCGAGTTAGAAATACTTGCATTCTTGGTAAAAATAAGTTGAATTGAGTTGATGTTCGACAGTGGTCGTGCCATGAAAACTCTGAATTCAAAAATCCATATCTCGAAATCTATTAGAAATAATTGATTGTAGTTTTTTTTAACTGGGTTAAAAATGATGGGTTATTTAAAATTTTTGAATGGAAAAAACAACCTTTTGTACGAATTTTTCTTATTTAATCATATTCTAAAAGATCTGATCTTCAAAATAAAAAAAAAGTTTCATTATCTAAAGTGGTTCTTAAGTTATGGCGTATTATGTGTTAAAAGATGGAGTGATTAAATTATCGCGATTTCTAACGTTTTCTCGTTATAAGTGTTTAAATTATCGCGATTACTAACGTTTTCTCGTTATAAAAAAATGAACACCCTAACGTTATCCTTATAATTCCATTTCAGATGCTCAGAAACATATCTAATGTTTTTATATAGCTATCTTTTCGAAAAAAATGTATTTTAAAATTAAGCGGTTTGCGATCGTGATTTTACTTTACTTGCTAAGGAAAGGCGTACCGGCAACGCCGCAACAGCACATCGTCGCATTTCTCTCTCCGACTTAATAAGATCCCTATTCGATTTACTTCCACGCATGTAAATACCGACCCAAAAGTAACAGTTGCCAGCACGGTATATTAACTGATTTTCGGATTCTAGGAGAAAAATAAAGGTGAGTTTTATAAAAGAAGTATATGACTAAAATGTAAGGTTTTTGACAAACGTTACGGGGCTCGATGAATTTGACACTTAACGCCAGTTTAATATTAATAATAAGAATGCTTTACTTTTAGCCCGCTTAAACGCAAGAGAGATGAGACGATTATTTTTTAACACCCTGTATAATAATTTCCCGACACGTTATTAACATTTTATATTTTGTTCAATATTCTACTACAACACTAATTTAATCACAAACACCGACGTTGCAACATGTTGCGCTAGCATGTCTAACACCTCTGATAATAACTTTCGTGCTCTGAAAA